TGGGCTGTTTGGGCTATAGTTGTACGTCAGTTCATAGGGCCGCAAGCACAGTATGAACTAGGTTATCAGCCGCCTGAAACCTGCCCTAAACCCTAAACCCTAAACCCCAAACCCTGAACCCCAGCCCGACAATTTGAAATCGTATCTTTCTCAGTGCACCCTCAGCCTTCCACCCTTCGAGAACCCCTCCAAACCCCAACCGGCAATTCCAGGAGGTGCAGCGAGTGCTGAATGTTCTGGCGAGGCGGAATAAGCCCAATGTGGCGAGCCCAGTCGTGGGTGGGTTCTCCCTAAACCCCTAAACCCCAAACCCCTAAACCCTGAACCCTAAACCCTAAAACCCTAAAGCCCTAAACTAAACCCCTAAACCCCTAAACCCCTGAACCCCTACACCCCTACACCCCTAAACCCTAAACCTTAAACCCTGAAGCAGCTTTCAACCGAAGAGGGGCTTCGAAAAGTAAGCTCAGCCGGGAACACTGGAAGGCCTTGAAGCCCCAAGTGGGAGAAGACCAGCAGTGTTCAGGGGTTTAGGGCTTAGGGCTTAGGGGTTAGGGTGGAGTTTCGGGTTTGGGGTCCAGGGGTTTCGGAGGTTTTCTTGCAGGCTTTGACGTTTTGGCTTGGGGTTTGGGTTGGGGGCCCCGGGTCAGGTTCGTTTCCCTGAGAGCTACTCCGGAGAAGTAAATCCCTCAACTCCTGAGCTTACTCTGGAAAGGTCTAGGGCGTAGGATTTAGGGTTTTAGGGTGAAGGGTTTTGGGGTATCAATGGGGGAGCCTGCATCAGTAGGACGAGAAGCAGACCTATATGTAGCTAGCCTGACGGCTGACGAACTGTAATCCCGTCGATGCTGTACCACGGTGGTTCCGTGGTTGCTGGTTTTCAGGTTGCAGGTTTGGGCTGGAGGTTTGCCGTTAAAGCTTCAACGCGCTCTGTCAGCATAGGGCTCAGTGTGTCGCGTGGATGCAACGGGAACATGCTGTCAGTTCGTTGCAAGAGTTCTGAAGCTTCTAGACCTTGCGCATCGGGCTTGAGGTTCAGAGGCACCTGCCCACAAAGCCAATAAAAGTCCTAAACCTTAAACCCTACACCCTAAACCCTGAGCCCTAAACCCTAAGCCCTAAACCCTACACCCTAAACCCTGCGCTCTAAACCCTAAACCGTAAGCCCTAAGCCCGAAGCCTTCGGCTTAAGCCTCAAACCCGAAATTCGCAGCATCGACAACTCAAAGGGTTCAGGGGGTTTGGGGTTTAGTGGTTTAGGGTTTAGGGGTTTAGGGTTTAGGGTTCAGGGGTTTAGGGTTCAGGGTGTAGGGTTAGGTGTCGTCCCATAAACCCCTTGCTTTCCCCAGAGAGCACTGAGGTTTGTCTGCTGGGCCCCCCCGGTGTAGGCAAAACAGCTCTGGTGGAGGAGGCCTGGCAATGGCCGGCAATGGGCACATCTTTGGGTTTTCAGGGAACCCTAAGCCCTAAACAAACCGGGTTTGGGTGTTCAGGGGCTTAGGGTTGAAGGCAGGCACTGAAGCCTAGGCCTCAACCCTACACCTGTCAGGCCTGGAGGTTTTGTGGCTGAGGGGATAGGGTTCATGGTTAGGGTGGTCTTTTGATTTTGATTTTCGTGGTTCCTAAATCCTAAAGTCCCAAGGTTTAGGATTTCAGACTTATAGACTTTACGATTCAGGACGGACTTTGTCTCTTGTGACTACCATTCGGCGGCAATAAATCTTGAAAATCCTACAAGTTCCCGATCATGGCCTTTCCCGAAGGAACACATATTGTATAAGCGGAGCAGTGACGGTACACTCCGACCATTCCTTGGCTTCGCCCACCTGGCGCTGATTGAGAATGCGTGTACCCTGCAGAAGAAAAACTGTATGGAGTTCTGTGTTAGGGTTTAGGGAACCGTTACTGCCTTGCCTTACCCATCCACTTGTCAGCACAGAACGTATCCCTGGACCAATACACTGTCCCCACAGGCCTGAACAGGCACAACCCGCCCCACAAGTGTGCGACTCTGAATGTCATAACAAAATACCCTTGTGCTCCCTGAATTCGACTGAAATTATAGTATACCCCAAACCCGGACGCTCCTATTCTAACCATGATAAGGACCTGTAGCTACATTCACACTCAATGCGCAGGTCGAAGTTAATCTAAGTTAGGTCCCCTGTCGGGACCATTTATGAGGGTGCCGTATTGTTGTGGGGACCTAGATTGAAACAGGGACCATAACTAGAGAACTGCCCATAAAATATGTGCCATGTGCTGTTAGGAATCCCTCCAGCTGGCGTAGAGTGAGAAGAGGGGGAGCTGGCGATTCGCAGGGCCGCTTCACATCACCGTCCATTTAGTGTCAACCCACCCTCCCCGAATCCGGCAGACCTTCCGATATCTTTTCCATTAAGGGGATATACGTTAAAGTATAGTAGGATCCCTAATATGATGTAAGGTATATCGCTTAAGTGATGTTGGAAGATCTAGGCCCTTTTCGTTTGTGGTGCTCATCCCGCTTGCAAGTGGGATGAGATGAGCAATGCTGGGATTCCTGATACATTTCTTCGTTGAAGCCATTAGGATAGTGAATCTAAATCCTGCCTAAACCCTAAACGAACAACCCTAAACCCTAAGCCCTAAACCCTCAATGCTCCTTTGTGAGCCCTCGATTCTCAAAAACACGCAAAACCATCCACTCGGGTCGATTGTACAACAAAGTCTCATTTTGGAACAGCTTTTTTCCCGGTTGTCCACCTAGATGGAGAACCCAAGCCAAACAATGGTGGACTTTAGAACAGACTCTGCTTTAGGCAACAGAGCCCCTGGATGTTTCAGCTTTTTTCGGCGATGCTAGAGGGAAGGCCTTGGCCACATGAGCACCGAAATCCCAACTCCTGAATCCTACATCCTAGTCCCAAACCCGAAACCCTAACTTCAAAACCCAAAGCCCAAATTCCTAATCCCTGAACCCAGCAAACCTCGAGCGAGGACACCAACAAGGAGTCGTAGACAAAATTGAAAGCCCCAAATTCCAAACCAACCCTCAATTCCACAGCAGCAGTGAGAAAAAGCAAGCCCCCCTAAACCCTATATAAAGCGTAACCCCTAAACCCAAAACAAACCCTAAACTCCGAACCCCTTCTTTTTAGAGTGCGCAGAGAGGTTGCAAGGCGAATCCACCTGCGGGAGGGCATTCCAAGGCCTGCTTCGCTCTCAAGCTTTGGGGGCGTTTCGGGGTTTAGGGGTTAGGGTTTAGGATTCAGGGTTTAGGGAATCGGGGTTTAGGGTTTAGTGAATGAAGTGTGTCTTGAGGGTTCAGGGGCTTAGGATTCATGGAAGCAGGGTTTGGGAAATGGGGGGGTGTCGGGTTTAGGATTCAGGGACTGAGGAAAGCAGGGTTTCGGGCTGATGCCTTTTTTTGGCGGGCAAAACAGAAGGCAAAAGCGGAAAACCAAAGTTACTAAACAGTCACAGAAAAAATACAGCCAAAAACTCCACACCCAACCTCCACAACTTCAGAAAGTTTCACTATAGAGCCCTGAAGAGGCAGCTGCAGTCCTGCCGGCGGCTGATCCAGCTAAGCCTCGGCTCGCTGGTGGGTGGCACCCGGTGAGCCCGGGGGCGGTCTTTGGTTTTTACAATGGAGCTATAGGGATTTAGGGGTTTAGGGTTTAGAGTTTAGGGTTATAGCAAAAGAGGAGTACTACTGTACAGGGTTTCTATCGAGGTTTATTACAAGGTTTTCCCCACGAAGTAGGGGACGGCCCCACGGAAGCACTAAGTTTGAAAGCTTGGCGCTCAGGTTTTCTCTTGTTTCGGGTGTTTGGGTGGAGGCTTTGGAATTGGCGGTCTAGTGGGGAAAAGAACTTAGAGGCCCTCAGGGTAACGTGAGGCCTCCCTAGGTGAACAGGGTTGAGGGGTTTAGGGTTTAGGGTTCAAGTGCGAAGGGTCTAGAGTGTGTGTTGCGATGGTTGGTTCAGGGTAACGGGTTTTGGGTGGCCCGATACCTTGGTAACGCATACCTAGGGAAGCCCGAAAACTCTTTTTCTAGGGTTTTTGCATCAAGGCTTCGGAAAACTCCAAAATATGGCTTCAAGAAGGGGGGTTTTGCCAACTTCATTTTGCACTGGCAAACGTCATTTCTCGTGAGCCTTTGCAGGTACCGTGGAGAGTTCGAGAAGCGCATGCAGAAGCTGCTGAAAGAGCTTGCCGGCCTTCGCGACGAGGTGCGGGCCATCAGAGCCTAAGCCCTAAAGCCCTAAACCCTAAAGCCCTAAACCCTAAACCCAAAAACCCTAAACCCTAAACCCAAAAACCCAAAAACCCAAAAGCCTAAAAACCCTAAACGCCTAAAGCCCTAAAGCCCTAAAGCCCCAAAGCCCCAAAGCCCCAAAGCCCTAAACCCGAAGGGCCTTTCAGATCTACGCCTGGGGTCAGGGTTGAGGCTGGGACTCCAAGGTTTTTTCCGTCGGTTTTCAGCTGGGAGTCAGAGGTTTAGGAGCTCCTTTGTTGGTTTAGGGGTTTAGGGTTAGGGGTTTAGGGGTTTAGGGTTTAGGGTGGCCGGGTCCAGGGCAGAATGCTCAGAGTGGATTTTCTAGGGGAAGAAACAGGGGAAGTCACGCTCCTCTAGGCCTTTGGCTTGTCTTCGTCAGAGAGGTGTGCGAAGTCTCGAACCTCGAAGCTGGAAGACCAAGTTAATTTCTACACCCGCAGCTTTTGGCACTGACGCCCGGACCATACAAACTCGCCAGTGACACACATTCCGACTGCGTACCACTCTTTCTTCTTCCCGCCATCGTGCCCGTCTTTGCCTTCACTGCTATTGTAGATGATATTGACGATGGTGATGACGATGATGATGATGATGACGACGATGGTTGGTGTCATGACTACAATTTCCATCATTCTCGCTATTGTTGTAAGTGTTATTACCGTTGCCATGTTGTTATTCTTGCAGCGTCTTACCCCTAAGCCCTAAACCCTTACCATCTGGCAATTATCCTTGGGAGGTGATCCTCTTCATCGATGAGATCCACATGGCCGGCCCCTTCAGTTTCGGGGTTCCCAAAACCCAGCAGCTCAAGAAGCCCTTCAGTTAGGGTAGAAGACTTAAGAACGTGATTTTTGAAAGCCCCCCATGGCCGGCACCGTAGTGTGTCAGCAGGAACTGTGGCTGCACATATTCTGAGACAAGTCATTCCTGCCCCAAGCGTTGAAATCCAGCATCTTTCAAGCAACAATTAATTGCGGCAACGCATGCCGAGGGCAATGTGTCGAATGTTCGAGCAGTAACCTTAACACCTTAGAACTAAACCCCAAAACATAGATCTAGACCCCAAAACTTAAATGTCAAGCCCCAAACCCCAATCGAGCTCTGCTCTGGGTCCCAGCACCGAGACGGATGGTGAGGATTCATTTGTATTCAGGGTGTAGGGGTTTCGGCTTGCGATTCAGGTTGTAGCGGCTTAGGCCTACTGGAGATAGGGTTTAGGCTTCAGGGTTTTGGGTTTGGGGTTTAGAGTGTAGGGCTTAGGGTTCAATGCAAGGTTCTAGGGTTCAGGGTCGGAGGTTTAGTTTAGGGCCTTGTGGCGTCAGGGTCATTCTTGCTTCACCTGCTGAAGCCGAAACCCGCTGAGACCGAAACAGCCAATCAACTCCCCACAAGCCTTACGCAATCACAGAGAATCCGACAGGAAATTTTACTCTAAGCCTTAAGCCCTAAACCCTTCTTCCCTTTGGAAGGAAACGTCAAAAAGCCGAAAAAATCTCTAACCCCCTTAAGAGGGGCAGCCCTAAAGCAACTGCTTCCCAACCTTGTTAGGGTCGTCTTTATAGGGGTGCCGTGCTAGTTGGGGGACCTAGAACGAGCCGAATTAAACCCTCATAAACCCTGGAGCCCATCACAACACACTTTAAAACAGCTTCATCACCACAAATACCCTTATAATGCCCCTTAGCCACCATAAAAATCCTTTCTTAAACCTCCAACCTCAACACGTAAACCCTAAACCCGAAACACCATAAACCCTAAACCTCTAAACCCCAAACCCCTAAACCCAAAACCCCGAAGCCCTAAGCCGTGAATCCTACACCCGAAACCCTGAACCCTGAGCCCTAAACCCTAAGCCCTAAACCAAGAAGCTGCCCTAGGCCCTCGGTGCTGGGGAGACGGAGAAAGGCAGCTCGATGGATGCGGCGGCTCAGCGGCAGAGTTGATTGAGGGTTTAGGGTTTCGGGTTTAGGGTTTAGGGTTTAGGGCTTAGGGTTTCGGGTTTGAGGGTTTAGAGTTTAGGGCTTAGGGTTTTGCTTTAGGGTTTAGGGTTTTGCTTTAGGGTTTAGGGTTTAGGTTTTAGGGCTGGGAATTCCACAAGAGAGTTGCGGGGTTTTGTAGCGTCTCAAGGATCGCGCAAAGGCTTTTATGTGGCTTGCAAGTAGGACGTTTTAACGGTGTTGTGAGACCTCTACACAGGCCGAGGTTCGAGGTGTAGGGCTTAAGGTTTGGGTTTGGGGCCTTGGGTTGCAAGGAGCCCTTTGTCTACCAAGGCCTACAGCCTACACCCCAACCCCCCAAAATGCCGCTCTAGGGCCCAGAAGCAAAGACGCCCAGCCTCTTCAACATACCTAAACCCCGCAGGCATGACAATGAACCCTAAGCCTATACAGACTTAGCCTTACATGGCCGAAGCCCCACGGCCGAAACTCCCAAACCCAAAACCCTGATGTCCCGAAACCCTAAACCAACACCCACCGCCAACTAAATTGACTCTTAAGCTCCAAGCATAGCCGCAAAGCATTGAAAGCATCTTACAGAACTTCCCTCGTAGAACCTTTCCATGAAAAAGCTCTCATTTCCGGACCCTTATATAGAGCCGCCGGCCCTAAGCCCTAAACCCTAAACTTCAAAATCCTGAAGCCCAAAACCCCTAAATTCCAAAACCCTAAACCCCCAAAAGCTTAAACCCCCAAAAGCTTAAACCCCCAAAACCCCTAACCCCCAAACCCTAAACCCTAAACCCCCAAGCGCTAAACCCTAAAACCGCCAAAATCCTAAACCCTTAAACCTTAAACCCTAAACCCCTAAAGCCCTAAACCATCAAAACCCTAAACCCTAAACCCTAAACCCCTAAGCGCTAAACCCTAAACCACCAAAATCCTAAACCCTTAAACCCAAAACCCTAAACCCTTAACCCCTAAAGCCCTAAAACCCTTAAATCGTAAACCCCTAAACCCCTAAAGCCCTAAAGCCCTAAAGCCGCCCACCCAAGGCCAACCTTCTGAAGCCGGCCCTGGCGCGTGGCGAGCTCCGCTGCATCGGCGGGGGGTCATGTAGTGTTTTGGGTTTAGGGTTTTAGGGTTTAGGGTTTTGAGGGTTTAGGGTTTAGGGTTTAGGTTTCGGGTTGAGGGTTTTGGGGGTTTAGGGTTTAGGGTTTAGGTTTCGGGTTGAGGGTTTTGGAGGTTTAGGGTTGGGGGTTTTGGGGGTTTAGGCTTTAGGGTTTTGGCTTTTGGGGGTTAGGGTTTAGGGTTTTGGGGTTTAGGATTTAAAAGGCTTAGGGGTTTAGGGTTTAGGGTTACTGCAAGGCCCAGGAAATTGTAACATGGGTTGAGGATGATTAGTTGCTAGGATCCCTGATACTTTATCTTCAGGGCATGAGGATTATAATGTTCCAACATTCTCCCTAAACCCTAAACCCTGGCTACGGCTCAAGTTGTTTGGTTTGGACAGCTGTGGGAAAGGGCTCGATCCTTGTGGGGACTGATCATGTTGCCGTACAGCCCCGGCACGCGCCTTGATGCCCAAGTCTTCGCTGGTGCCCTAAACCCTAAACCCCTAAACCCCTAAACCCTAAACCCGAAACCCCCCAAACCCTAAACCCCCTGTTTATGTCGCCACGGTGAGTCCGAAGAGGTGGCGCTCCTGACACCCGGCGACCTGGCGCGGACGACAAACGGAGAGGATCTTGGCCGAAAGCAATGGCATCACAGACAAAAATGTTGTCTGGAAGATGGCCATCGCAGGCACCATAGCAGCTTACTCTGGCCTTGGACTTGCTCCGTTGATTGTGAGATCCACAGCTTGGACGAAGATGTACGGGAGCTCAATGAAGTCTGCGATGGATGCCACATTCGCCAAGTCAACCCGAAGCCATTGTGGCGTTTTCAGGACTGGTGGGTTTACGGCTGCAGGCCTTCGACCCGCGACCCTAGACCTTTTCCCATATTTTCACAGGTTTCGAGAATCCTCGTGCGAATTTTTAGAGAGATACCCCCCAAGAAATTCCCAAAGTTTTGTCAACTAGCGGGAGCCCTTCTTGAGGAAACTTATCCTTGAACGATAATAAGTCGTTAGTTCAGGGGATTTCCGAAGTCCCTGGGATGCTGATGGGTTCGGGCTGCAAGCCTAAACCCTAAACCCTAAACCCCTACACCACCAATGACAATTTGAGGGTTGCGTCGGCTTCCGAGTATTCGTTTCTGCGGAAAGAACCCTAAACCCTACACTAGGCCCTAAACCCTCAAAAATACCGGTTGTAAAGAGGGCCCCCCCTCTCGTTTTGGCAACTCTTCTCTGTATCGTCGCACCCTGGGGCTGGTCTTACTTGCTTTTTCTTACGCTTTCGGTGCCTACACCGCTACTGCGATAACATCGTAGTGTAGTATAGTAATAGTATAGCGATGAGATAGAAATAGTTTAATGGTATAGAATAGTATAGCTTAGTATAGCATTATATAATATAGTAGAGTATGGTAGAGTGTGGTAGAGTAGAGTAGAGTCTAGTATGGTATAGTCTAGCTCCAGGAACCGCCCCTTTAAAGCCGGCTGTTACGATAGGTTTTAGGAGCTTAGGCCCAGTATAGGCTCGCCGGACTTGGCTTCTGCTGCCACCGCTTGTTTGAGGGATGCTCGATTCCGGAATTCAGGGTTCCTGCCCGATTGAGACGATTTCCAGGCGCAACGACGACGGCGGAGTACAAGCGCTTGATCCAGAACCAGGCATCCGGACCCCAAGCCGCTAGTTCAGGAATCGTCCTTTAGTTGCCTTGGCACCGGTAGCTACAAGATCCCCAAACCCCCTGAACCCCAAGCTCTAGTTGAGGGATTGCTGAAGGGTTTGAAGCACGAGATAAGATGCAGGGGCCGTGAACTTTCATGCAACATGCGGGTGAGACATATGTGTTTATAGTCTAACATTCACGTAGGTACCAACCTAGCTACCTAGCTACCCAGCTACCTACCTGCCTGCCTGTCTGCCTGTCTGCC